AAATCCTCTAGCAGTTGTAGAAGGAGTCAAAAGGGCTAAGCAGTTGAATATTAGCAAGTTGCTGGTGGAAGGTGACTCCCAACTGACTGTTAGATGGTTGCAGATGGAAGAGTCCAGCATGTGGAAGTTCTCAAATGAAAGAAAGAAAATCAAGCAACTAACTCAGAACATGACCATAAGGTTTCAATGGGCTAAGAGGACACCAACTCCATGGCTGACTGCTACAGGGGATGGGAAGATCTAATTTGTTTCGGGCTATTCTGTAATATGTTTTTTCGGGTTTGAAAGGGAGGGTTAAGACATTTTACCCCTCCTTGCTGGTTGTATCTTACTTACCTCTTTTAATAAAAGTGCTGTTATTGATAAAAAAAAAAAAATTTTATATCATATGTTTTGTTTCACTACTAGTCACCAGTCACCACCACAGCACCTTGGTTACACTGGTTATACTTTAAGATTGGAGGAAGTAATGTGAAGCAGGTCATCTTCTGATCTTCCTGGAAGAATTTATAATATGTTAATAAAGTTTTTGGGCTAGTAGTGAATATGTACCATGTAGAATATCATGATATAATTTTTTTCATCTGTTGATCATTCCAAAAGTTCTAATGACTACCTTTTCATCCAGCTTGCCGATGGGATGATCTTAGAGAAGACATCAAGTCCCTTGGGTGTTCTCCTGATCGTTTTTGAGTCTCGACCTGATGCCCTAGTTCAGGTGAAAAAGCAAGATGACATTATCTCTTTCTGATAAAGATGGTTGAGATGGGTATAACTGATTTATTCTTGTTATGTTTGTTTATGCTGGTAGTTAGTCCATCCCATCTGACAATGTCTATGCATTTGTTTTGCTTATGGTAGTCATTCACTTCCCTTAAGCTCTAAACAACCCTGGAAGGGAACATTTTGCTTCGTTTCTTCATTCCAGTCTGTAAAGTACTTCTGTATAACCTTTCTTCTATCCAATCCTTTTAATCTAGAGATTGTTTGGGGTGGGTAGTTCCGATCAAGCAACCTGCAGAATTAGAGAAAAGAGAAAGGGAAAATGAGGAGATGCTCTTACTGGTTATGGATAGACTGGAAGGGTGCTAATTACTGGTTTTGTGGATTTGTGCTTTGGTGATCTAGTAGATTACTGGCTGCAAGTCATCTCTGATATATTTGTAATATGGTGGTATCCTTGCATTTGACATATTCAAGTGCCTTTATGGATGCCTATTACTTTGGTTTTCCTAATATCCCATATCTAGATGTGCTATGTCTTGATCTCACCCTTGTAACGCCTTTGGATATGCATAAAAAAATGAGAATTCAAACTCAGGTGACCAGAAATCACCAAGACAAAACTGCAAATGAAAAAAAAAACCCTCCTACCATTATCCCAATAGCACAGTGACTAAGACAACAATAATCTTACAAGTGGTAGTTGATTATTGGTTAATGATGTTTGAATAATGTCTAAAAAACATTTCCATCTTCAGTGTTGTTATCAAATGTAGAGCTTTTCCTGAAAGAAAAGTACAGGCTCCAGTTTTAGGTGCAAGCATCTGAATTAAGAAGTGTTACCTTTTGTAACACAGTATTACATGGTTTTAGTTGGTGTAAGTAATAGATGTCTTTGAACGGAAACACCACAATGTGAAAGCTATTGGCATAAACCAAATTTCATATTTTTTTTTCCTGGGCTTTATTAACTCTTAGCTTCTGACATTGTACAACAGATAGCTTCATTAGCAATTCGTAGTGGAAATGGACTTCTCCTGAAGGGAGGGAAAGAAGCCAAGCGATCAAATGCAATCTTGCACAAGGTTTGGTTTCTCAATATTAGGCATAATTTGGGGATTGTTACAAAATCTAAATCAGCTGCTTTCCCTTGGTTTATTCTATAATTGTTTCTTATATTTTTAAGGTTATTACTGAGGCTATCTTAGATACTGTTGGTGAAAAGCTTATTGGACTCGTGACTTCAAGAGAGGAGATACCTGATCTGCTCAAGGTGAGCCCTAGGATCAAGAAATTTTAGAATTTATGCCAACTGTTATATATAGTGATTAAAATTTAAACTCTGTTTTCATTCTTCAGCTTGATGATGTGATAGATCTTGTGATCCCAAGAGGCAGCAATAAACTTGTTTCTCAAATTAAGAGTTCAACCAAAATTCCTGTTCTTGGTCATGCAGGTAAGACATAACATCACAAGGATATTATTTATTAATATATTTTTCCTGCACACAGAAGTTTGAAATTTACATATGATGCAATTGCTGCACAAATTTGACTAAAAACTGGGACATGCTAGTAAAGTTGCAATTTTTCTGTCCAGATGGAATTTGCCATGTTTATGTTGATAAGTCAGCTAATATGGATATGGCAAAGAAAATTGTGTTAGACGCGAAGATAGATTATCCTGCAGCCTGTAATGCGATGGTAATTCCTGGTCACAATTGTACATGATTGAAAAGCCTGTATATTGATACTCTTTCCAATAGACAGTTTAGCACAGAATCTGACTTGTATTAACAGTCATCATCTGCACTATACGATCTTCATCTCTGTATCTACGACTTACTACACTCTCCCATTCTCCTCCTTTTTGTTCTTAGGAAACACTACTTGTGCACAAAGATTTGGTCAAGACTGGTGGGCTTAATGACCTCATTGTTGAGCTTCGCACTGAAGGTATTTTTCTAATAGAAATTGTTTCCCTTTTACTAAGGGTGGTTTTTTTACTTTGTCTTGCTTTTTTTTTTGTACTTTGAAGTAATTACGCTTAAGTAAAATACATCAGTTGACTAATAAATTTGCTCTTATCAAAAGTAAGTTGATAACTTCCTGCCCAGGAATAGTATGTCATATGTTGCACTCAATTTTTGAAGGCCACATATTATGCCTTTGGTCTCACTGACCTTGTGAATGCTTTGAGGGTTCTTTTTGCATCCTATCATTGGATATGGGTGTTTTCCTTTCATTTCTATAATCCCAGAATGAGCTTCATGTTCAAGCCATAGAGCCCATGGATGGAAAGCAAGAGATCCAAGCCTTTAAGGAAAAACCCTGGACTCTAGAGTAGGAAATCAGGTTTTCTTTTTTGTAATATATATGATGTCATCAAGAGGTTGGCCAAACGTTTGCAGTGGTCTAGAAAGCAGAGCAGGTATTAGAAAATATGCAAGCAATTCCTTTATCTGACATAAAATTTGGGCTTAGTAACATGTTATGCATAACACAAATTTTCACACACACATATTATGTGAGAATCAACGTAGCTACTATTAATGAAATATTTGTTACTGATCAAGCCATCCTTGTCCACATCAGCCCTTATCCAAGTAGGTCTGGCATTCCTCTAGGATTACATGATGGGATGTGCATTGATTTTAGGAAGTGTTACTTGGAAAATGTATAGAATGTGATTCAGAAAATTCCAAATTAGTTAGCTTATAACAGATATGGCCCTAGATCTAATTGGACTGTGAAAACAGGATTAATTAGCCAGTTCTAACTAGTTAGCTTAGAACTTCATATTAGACAAAGATGACTGTGATGTTCCCAAAAGTTTGCATATGATTTTCGTTATAACTTTTAGCAACATCTGGGCACTCTGAGAAATGTGTCTCAAGGTATTTCTATGATTAATTCATCAAAAAAAGGTATTTCTATTATTAGTTTTGTATAATTTAGCACTTTGAACCAAACTCCACTTAGGGTGCATTGTTAAGAGTGCAAATGCATGACTGCGGTGAATTTGTGGTTTGTACTCTGGTTTGGTTTTACAGTTCTTTGGTAAGAATATATTTTTGTGCTGAAAATGAAAGTAAATTTGTTTCTCTGATGTTTTTGCTTTTAAAATGGGAGCAAAAATAGAAGCAAACTTTGCATTTAAAATTGATGAATGTAAAATAGGTAGATTCCAGTCTTGAAATTTGTGTTTGTATCTGTTAGCGTAGGGGTATTTCTGTCTTTATACCTTGATTGATGTTGCTGATCTGTAATGTTGTGTTGAAACATGTTCTCTTAACTTAAGTAAGGGCACATAGGTCTTTTCAGTTATGTTTTAATAATAATATAAATACTTACTGGCC